AGAAGCTCTAATTCGATAGTTGTTATTTTTGCCCTGTTTAGGCTTCAGAGTGTAACAGTTCTTGTTTCCATCGGGAAAACTTCTCAGGCTTCTGTACTCCTTCCAATACTGAGTGTAATAGTTGTTATTAATGGCACTGGGTGATACGTCATGGTTTTCACCAGTGTTAATGAAATCTTTGTCGGTGTTGTAGAATATTCCGGTTTCAACGTTAAGGTAGTTTTCTTCCACTCCACAATCGATGCTTATGAAATCTAAATTACCCACCATTTTTTCACAGTAAAAACTCAAAGCATTAAATGGATCATCAAAATTCAAAAGACCCTTCAATATAAAATTAGTTCCAATGAAAATTTATTTTAATTTTAATATATTTAATCAACTAATTTTAAAATCATATCTTTTGCAAGGAAATATAAAATTAATTAATAATTACACTTATCAATTAATATTCGAGGTTTTTAATTTTTTTCTTTTTACAAAATGTAATGCTTATAATATAAACTAAAAAATAACTTGCATGTCGAATAAGCATACGATATGAACAAAAAGGATTTTGAGAAGAAAAAAAAAAGAACCCTCTTTCTTAGGTTTATAATGAAATCAAACAAGGTGTTTAAACTAATGATTTGACAAAATTAATAAAGTTTATGTGAATGTTAAATCAACAATATTATCAAACTCCTCCTAAAAGGAAAGTTATAATAAATTGAAACCCACATTCCCAATAATATTCAAGAACAACAAGAAGGGAAAAGGAATATGGTGGTCCTGCTCCAAAAAATTTTGTTTAGTTCTGCTGCTATAACATTGCTCGATGTCGCACTAGAATTGACGTTATACTAAAAGCAAGCTGCATGTATTAAACTTTATAAAGATGAAGAATTACAAAAATAAGAATTAAGTTGGTGGACAGGAAAATTAATTTGAAGAAGATTTTTATATGCACGCAATGTAATATACCCGGATGATTTTGATCAGTGGCCAACGTTCTTCTTCCGACGCTCGCCTCAGTTAGTATCAGAGTATCCCAAGAAATCGTAATCCCGAAAATGAAAATGAAGACTGGTAGTAGATTATTTAGCACAATAATCAATTTGTGACTACCCACCATGCTGGTCTAATTTCCTTAAGAATTATTTTCTATGGACAGATTTGTTTAGATTGAGACATTGGTCAGTTGAAGTAGCATTTTATAAGTATTGAAACTTATTTTGCACTCAAACCGACGACTTGTAAGGTTTTCGGAGTAAGGAGAACGCTAAAGACTTTTCTTTTGGGTTATGGTTTTGTGAAAGGAGTTGTATATATATTATTATGATTCACATTAATTTATAAGATATTATTTTTTATTAATTTATTTAGATTTATGATTTATTTATTTAATACACAATTAATATGAAATTTATTATTTTTTTAAGATCATGACAATATGGATGTGCATAATTAATAACCACGTGGTCATGACCTACCATTTTGACTAGTTTCGTTCCTTAATTTTTTGTCTTAATTTTCTTCTCGTTAGGCTACTATCTCTTTCAAATATATGAATCCAATCTTCCATTTTTTATTAAGGTCTGTATATTTGAGTCAAGCTAAAAGGAAGCTACTGAGTTTGTTCCAAAGGCTGTCGTTCCGTATACGACGAAGACTTGATGCAGAAGGCTGAGACTTCCATGTAAGGAGTAAGTCGACGAAGACTTCCAAGTCGAAGGCTGAGACTTTTCATTAAATCAAAGGAAAGGACCTAATACAGTACAGGCCGACAAGTAACCCCTACTCCAGGGAAAATAATTTGTAAGAAAGGACTGTGACTTGGCAGAAACGTCCAAATATATCGAAAGTGATTGCAATGCGCCATTTGTATCGTCTTCCAAAGAAACTAGTCTTGATGTGATATGCAGAAATATATAGTTTGGGGACTTTGTGTGCCTTACAGCCTTGTTATAGCTAGGTTCATGTAACAAGCTAATTAGATGAATGGAAAAAAACTAAAGCACTAAATATTTATCCTTCTTATTTTCTCTTGTAAGTTGGTAATTAATTGAGGGGGTTTTCATTTGTGATATTATTATCTGTTTTGAAGAGATAATAATGGAATGTATATCAATACTCCTATATGCTAATGAAATAATAAATAAAAGACAAAGATGGTAAAAATTTATTTAGACTTTTTGATTGAAACTTCTAAATCATGATAACCCAAGTGATTTAACACGAAATTTTATATTTCGTTTAATTATTCAAAGAAATTGTCATATTATAAGAAGCCACTAATACAATGTAGAGACAAAAGTATATAGTCAAATATAGCAAATATAATTACTTTGGCAACAAATAATTAAATGTAGACTTTTTAAAAAAATAATAATGTAGATGATATAAATTATTTTTCACATAACAAAAACTAGCGGCGTAATGAAAATTTTTAACTAAATATTTATTTTCCATTCAAATAATGATAAACTTGTATAAAAATGGGGATAGAAAGATAAACTTGCAAAAAAAAAAAAGTAAAATGTTGATTTAATAGAGTAGTAAATTTGACTGATTGGATTTTGAAGCGCAACTGTTGAATATGATTTTGTATTGGATGAGGCCTATTTTTGGTTTAAATGGGCAAAACTTGACTGATCCAAGTCCCACGTAACCGATGCTTCACCCATTCATACAGATATCAATTCCAAATTAACAAAGACGTTTGAGAATTTGCATGCTGATCTCGTAGGTTTACTGCTAAAGGATGTTTCGGGATAATATATATTTTGCCATTGTTGAGTTGTTGTGGCTTTCTTCTTTTGAATTGATCAAAAAATAAATTAAAAAAAAAAAACTAGAAGGAAGCTACATACAAAATTTAGGCGATAATAATAGTAAGTTTTAGGCCCGCTTGATTGTGATAGAGTATAGCATATATATATATATATATATATATATATATATAATTTAAGCAAGACTTTGGATTCCAAATTTTCTCATTTTGAATTCAAAATCTTCAATTCTGAAATCAACCTTAGTAGCATTGAATTAACAATTCATTCTATATTTGAGGAAGTCACTAAGCAACAAGCGAAAATACATTGAAATCACGTCCCAAGGGGATGAAAAAAGTGGACATCCTTTTCAATTATTTAGCTACTAATTAGGTATCTAAAGCAACTAAATTTTAGTATCTCAAGCCCATTAACAAGTTTTAATTTTTTGTCTAAATTCTCTCAAAGTTTAAACAGATTTTCAGATTTGAACGGATAGTTTGGCCGTTGAACAAGTGTAACTAAGATGTTAAATATAAAACTAGTTGCAATGAAAATTTATTTTAATTTTAATATATTTAATTAACTAATTCTAAGTTCATACCTTTTGCAAGGAAATATAAAATTAATTAATAATTACGCTTATTCATTAATATTCAAGGTTTTTATTTTTTTTATTTTTTACAAAATCTAAAGCTTATGATACAAACTAAAAATAATTTGCATGTCAACTAAGAAAATGATATGAACAAAGAGGGTTTTGAGAGAAAAAAATCAAGATGAAATCAAACAAATAAGGTATTTAAACTAATGATTTGACAAAATTAATAAAGTTTATGTGAATGTTAAATCAACAATAGTATCAAACTCCTCCTAAAAGGAAAGTTTTAATAAATTGAAACCAACATTCCTAATAATATTCAAGAAAAACAAGAAGGGAAAGAGAAATTGGTGGTCCTGCTTCAAAAACTTTTGTTAGTTGTGTTTGCTAGTAATTTAAAAAGTAGTGTATCTCACATTAAATGGAAAGATCATTTGTATATAACTTAAAAGAAATTACTTATGTTATTTAAGTAATTAAATTTAGTGTTGGAGTGAAGTAAGTTATAT